GCTCCACCTTTTTGTTCGTATGAGGTCCCTGTCTCTCTGCTCACTTCTTTTATATCTCAAAAGAGATTGACTTTAGACACAATCGAATCTTATAAATTGAGTCCTGCCTCATTAACATCATAAACGTAGGATTTATAATACATAGGAAAATCACATCAGATGACAAAATGGTGGACAATCACACAATACTGGGAATCATGAGCTAGCCAAGCTGACATACTTTTGGGGGTCACAACTCAATCCACTGACATTACCTGTAGAGCATCCAGTACAAATTTCCAATAAAAGGTCAAAGATATGCCTGAAACTTCTAACTGAGGTCTGTGTTCAAGATTCAGATTTGACACCTGCCAAGAAAAAGTGATAGAGGAAAAGTGTATGTGAATGGTACAGCCAAAGATTATGTAATATAGTGGGCAAAAAGAAACAAGGATGGGATCCTGGGGAGAATCACACGCAAAGAGCAGGGAAAAGAAGACGATTCTGCTAAGCAGACCCAAGAAGTGTAGTCTGAGACACGAGAAGACAGGCTGGAGAATGCAGGGTGACGCAAGCAAGGGAGCAGTTTCCGGGAAGCAGTCGTTAGCAGCATGCAGGGCTACAAAGAGGTGAGGTATCATGGAAACTGAAAAGCAACCTTTGGATTTGGCCATTATGCCATTGTTGTTGTTGTTGTCAGGTACTGTTGAGTTGGTTCTGACTCACAGCGACCCTATGTACAACAGAATGAAACACTGCCGGGTCCTGCACCATCCTCACGATAGTTCCTATGCTTGAGCTCATTGTTGCAGCCACTGTGTCAATCCATCTAGTCTGTGGGTCTTTTTTTTTTTTTTGTTGACCGTCTACATTCTTAAGTTCATGATGTCCTTCTACGTCATTAAGGTTGACTCTACTTTGAGGAGGCAGCTCTTTCCCAGCTGTATTTTGAGTACCTTCTAACCTGAGGGGCTCATCTTCCAGCGCTGTATCAGACAATGTTCCACTGCTATTCATAAGGTTTTCACCAGCTAATTTTTCAGAAGTAGACTGCCAGGTCATTCTTCTTAATCTTAGTCTGGAAGCTCAGCTGAAACCTGTCCACCGTGAATGACCCTGCTGGTATTGGAAATACTAGTGGCATAACTTCCAGGTTCACAGCAACACGCAAGCCACCTCAGTACGACAAACTGACAGACACGTGGGGATTATGCCACTAGTGACATTAATACAATAAATGAACATGGTACAATGGGGACATATGCCAGATTTCAGTAGTTGAAGAGGGACTTGGGAGGAAGTGGCAATTGTAGCATAGACTACTTTTCAAAATTAAAAAAAAAAAAAAAAAAAACAGTTGCCAATGAGTTGATTCCAACTTACAGTGACCTCACGTGTGCAGAGTAAACTGCACTCCAAAGAGTTTCCAAGACTGTGTTCTTTTGGAAACAGACTGCGAGGACTTTCTTCCTAGGCACCTCTGGGTGTGTTCGAACCACCAACCTTTTGGTTAGTAGTCAAGCGCTTAACCGTCTGTGCCACTCAGGAACTTCATACTTTTCTAAATAAAAGGGATAAATTCAGTAGAAAGGGGGAATATATGGAAACAAGAGGGAATAACTTAGAGAGTAATGTCTGGAGGAGACAAAAAGAAAAAAATATTAGTCTTAGAATGGAAGACGGATGGTTCATACTTTGAGACAGGAAATGAGGAGCGCAGCTTTAGACAGGTCCGTAGGAATAATGGTAGGAGTGTAATTAAGGGAGCTCATACCTCAAGTGTGCAATGCTAAATAATAACATAAAAACAAACCAAGAAAAAATTTCTTTAGAGTTGATTCCAACTCATGGCAACCCCATGTGTTACAAAGTAGAACTGCTCCATAGGGGTTTTCTTGGCTGTAATCTTTAAGGAAGCAGATTGCCAGGCCTTTCCTCCATAGTGTGGCTATATGGATTTGAACCACCAACACTTAGGTTAGTAGTTGAGCACAAACCATTTGTGCCACCCAGGGACGTAATACCAATAATTCTAATGTTACTACTACTACTACTATTACTACTATAAACACTATGTTTACTGAATACTTACCATGTGCCATACAGAGTTCCTCATGGTGCTAATTTTGCTTCAATAGTTGTTTCTTAAATATTGGAAACTACTCAGATACTGAGTATGTAACATTCTGATGCAACCTAAAAACAGCTTTTACTACCGAGTAATACATGCAACAGAGACTTACACTCCACCATATCTGACCCTTTTCTCTCCCACGCACTGAAATTATTCCTGATCCCAAGGGCCACGATGGGTAATATATAAACTTTTTACATTTTGATTCATCTCTTGTGACTCCCATCCACAAGAAATCCCCATATCAAAACAACCCTGTCGAAAATCACTAACACCTCACTAGCAATTTAGGCAAAGTGTTTCATTTAAAAAAAAAAAAGTTGATTAATATTAGTAGATAAGGACCGGTAGATACTCTCATAATCCCTATAGTGCTATGTTACTTTAAAAGTGTTCAGAGTTTTACTTCGTACACATATGACTTCCTCTTGCATTGTGAGCTTTTGAGGGCAGGGATAGGGAGTTGTGATCTTTTTTGTTTCCCAAGGTCTGGCAGAGGTCTTAGTAAATAGTAGAAGCTGAAAATTTGTATAAAAAATTAATTCATTACACTAAAAAAAAAAAAACTGCTCCTTATACTTTACAGTGAAATGAGAAAATCATCATAAACTACTGGATCTCTTTTTGACTAAAACCCAAAACCAAATCTGTTGTCACTGAGTTGATCCTGACTCATAGCGACCTTACATCAGAGTAGAACTCCTCTACAGGGTTTCCAAGGCTGTAAATCTTCATGGAAGCAGGCTGTCACATCTTTCTCCCTCAGAGTGGCTGGTGGGTTTGAACCACCGACCTTTTGGTTAGTCAGTAGACGAGTGCTTTAACCTCTGTGCCACCAGTGCCCCTCCCCTAAAGAGTACAGCCTGGAAAATCCCATGAGGCCACTGTAAGTCAGAATTGACTGGAGTCACCTAATAACAGTCCTGGAACAATTTAGATTTCTCTCACTTATTTTTACAGCTGGTTAAATCTCTTGTAGTTGTTATAGTTAGAGAAAGTTTATATTATTGTTAGGTGTGTCAAGTTGATTCCAGCTAATAGCGATCCTATAAGGCAGAGCAGAACTGCCCCATAGGGTTTCCCAGGCTGTGGAGAGCAGATCTGCAGGTCTTTTCTCCCCAGAGCTGCTGGGGGGTTCAAACTGCAGAACTTGTGGTTAGCAGCCAAGCACTTAACCATTATGCCCCCAAAGGTCCTTTGTATTAATTAGCCGACTATATAAAAAAACAGCACAGTGGTTAAGAGTTAGGCTGCTAACCAAAGGGTTAGCAGTTGGAATCCACCAGCTGCCCCTTGGAAACTCTATGGGGCAGTTCCACTCTGTCCTACAGGGTCACTATGAGTCAGAATTGACTCTACTGCAAAGAGTTGGGTTTTGGGTTATATACAAAAAAGATGCTTTAAGAATGCCACTTAAAAGAGTACACTGCTATGTATGACTGCTGCTATAAAAAAATCAGAATACTGTATGAATGGGGCCTCTCATACAGTATTTTTATGCAAATAATGCACACATCTCAAATTCTACATTTGTTTGCCAACTTCATCTCCCCCACACCTCCCAGGTATTTTCATAAGCGTGCTATATAAATTTTTATTTTACATTGCTGTAAAAAAATTAGCATGGCATGTTTACAAAAATATTGGGGGGTGGGGGCCCTGTGGGGCAGTTGGCAAACAGACTGTCATAGAAATACAATATATAAACCACCATTTAAAATGAACTCAAGGTGTTCTCTTGTTGTTGCTGTGTGCCATCAAGTCGATTCCAGCTCATGGTGACCCTATATGGCAGAGTAGAACTGCCCCATAGGGTTTCCTAGGCTGTAATCTTTACGGTTACGGAAGCAGATGCCAGGTCTTTTCTCCCCAGAGCTGCTGGTGGATTCAAGTGCTTAACCATCGCGCCCCCAGAAATCCTTTATATTATTCTTGGCTATATATATATATACAAAAGATGCTTTAAGAATGCCAGTTAAAAAATAGACTATGTATGATTGCTGCTATAAAAAAAAAAATCAGAATATTGGATGAACGGGGTCTCTCATACAGAATCTTTAAGGGCTTATCAGCAAAGTTGCAAGCCATAGGACTGAATTGTGATTCCACTACAGCTCTTCTAACAAGTATTGCAAGGTCACAAATAAACCCCTTTAAATAAAATGGTGACCCTGGTATTACATGTGATTTCCAACAAAGACATGGTTATAAATGGGTTCAGTTGTCGTATGAATCAAAATTAGCTTCTACCCAGCAACTGGGGTCAACCAAGAAGCCACTTTTCTTCATCTACAACCTACTGAACATCGACACTGCAGGAAACGAGCTTTCTATCTTTTCATCTGTTGCAAACTAGTGACACATTCTGTGGTTAGCACGAGGACTAAGCAGATGACCTTGTTGCCCTAAACCCTGGCCCGCATTCTCAGGCCATCCCCGCAATGTTTACAAACGCAGCTCGGGAGAAAAAGAGTTGGGGTCAGAGACTTAGTATTGGGAAGCTTCACTTTCTCTTGCCTCGGAACTGGGGACTATCCATGCCGCTTACAGTTGCCCTTTGGAGCCGACTCGTTCCCTAAAAAAGTCAGGGCTTCAAGTCCTGGCACGTTCCCAGGCTGAGTACACCAGAGGCTGTACACTGTCACAGGGACTCGAGACGGTTTCCGGAGCGTATCCTCTTCTCTACCCGGCCGCAAACGGAGTGCTGAAACGGACCGATTCCACCCTAGCCAGTCTCAAGATGGCGGCGGAAACTGATGGGACGCAGTGGAGCAGGCCACCTCCCCTTCCCAACGGCCCCTGCGCCAGAGGAGACGGCAAGCGGTAGGGGGGTGGGTACGGCCAGGAAGGGCGGGGAGCCCTAGCGCGGCCAGGCGGCGCGCGCTGCCTGCCGGGATACTTGGCCCGCCCAGCTAGTCCTCCCAGCTTGCGCCGCAGCCGCGAGATCCGCGTTTCTCCCAAGATGGTGGCGCTAGGCTCGGGGTGACTACGGGAGACGACAGGGCCCTTTCCCCCTCGCCAGGCTCCTGACACCCCTCCCTCCGCTCGCTCGCGCACTCCGCCGCCGCGTAGCCAGCCGCCGGCCCGGGCGCTTGCCACCCGCCCCCGCCGCCAACCTACGTTTCATCTCTGTCGACCCGCGCTCTTAGCCGCGGGCGGCGGCACCTCTCTCGGCACCTCCTCGGGGCCCCGCTCGGAGTCGCTCGCGGCCTAGCTCCGGCCAGGCGGGCTCTGCAGCCGGGTTTGGTCAGGCAGCAGCGGAGCGGCGGCTGGAGACGAGCGCGGGGTCCTCGGCGACCCCTGCGCCGCCTGACCGGCCTCGGTCTCTGGAGAAGGAAGCGCGGGTGCCGCATGAGCCCCGGCGGTGGCGGCAGCGAAGGGGAACGAGGCCGTGGCGGGCCGAGGCGGCGGGCGAGGGCGACCACGACCGCTGCGAGGGCCGCGACCTAGGCGCGGGGGCGACGGCAGGTCAGTGTCTCCAACGAGGGGCCTACTGTAGGGACGGCGGGCGGAGCGGAGCCGCGGCCCCTCATCCCCTTGGCTCCCTTCTCGGGCTGCTTCCGACGAGGTTCAGGCCCTTCCCCCCGGGGCGAGTGTTTGGGGGTGCGTGGTTTGGAGGGGATGGTGCCAGAAGTAGGCCCCTGGTGGCAGCGCCTGCTGCCGCCGTAACTGTCAGTTCTGGCTGAGCGCCGGCGGGAGGGTTTTCTTGCTGGAGGGGAAGGGAGCAGGCCCGGGGCGGGGCGTACAGGGTCGCCGAGTTGGCCCTTCTTGGAACGGAACTGGCCAGGCCAAGGCGCAGGACTGGGAAAGTCTTGATTTTTCTCTCATAGGGGGCCCGTTCTCTATGTTTTCGAGGTTTTTGGTTCTCTTAGTTAAGAGATATTTAGGCATGTGTTTGGTGAGTTGGGGTTTTGGGGTTGGCTTAGTGGGGAGGGCGAGTGGAAGAAGTGATGTGTCAAGCACAGGGGTTGTGTTCACTGACTACCCATGTGTTACTAGTCACCGGGATTCTAAAGGTGAACGTGAGTTAGTAGGGTTGCCAGGGTCTCTGTTAAATGCGGGTCTGCAAGCAGTTAATCAGTTGGCCTTTTTTTTTTTTTCTTTCTTTCTTTCCCTTTCTCAGTTGAGAGAATGCAAAGGAAACTTTCCTCGTCTTGGTGTGGAAGTTTTTGTTGGTAAAGCCAAAAGTGAATGTTCCAAGTGGTTTAGTCCATAAAACAAAAACCAAACCCGTTGCCATCAAGTCGATGCCGACTCATAGCGACTCTATGGGACAGAGTAGAGCTGTCTCATAGCATTTCTGAGGCTGTAATTTTTACGGAATCTGACTGCCACATCTTTTTCCCGCCGAGTGGGTGGTGGGTTCGAACTGCTGACATTTGGGTTAGCAGTTGAGCGCTTAACCACTGTGCCACCAGGGCTCCTTTGGTTTAGTTCATATAGCTTTTAAGAATAAGTTTAATACAGACGCTTTGGTTAAGCTTAGAATCCTAGAAAGATAATTTCAGTCTCTGAATTTTTTAAAACTTATAGGTGTGCTAAAATAGAAACAGTACAGAATCTGTTTGTAATTATGTATATTAATTGGCTCAACTCAAAACTCGCCCTCGAGTTGATGCCAACTCATACCAAAAAACCAAACCCGCTTGCCGTCTAGTCTATTCGGACTCATAGCGACTTTATAGGACTGAGTAGAACCGTGCCATATGGTTTCCAAAGAGTGGTGGACTCGAACTGCCGACCTTTTGGTTAACACCTCTTGTAGCTCTTAACCACTGTGCCACAACTAATAAAAACCAAACAACCAAACCCATTGCCTTCGAGGGATTCCTACTCATTAGCATATGGTGTTTACGATCCAAAGTTATTCTCAGAATATGGATATGACCCATAGTTTTGGATCATTCCACTTCCTGCTATATTGAGAGAACCAGCAGATTGGGGGGAGGGGGGAGTAGGTGGGGCTTGAAATAGAAATAACCTAAAGTTTAAGAAATAGAGCTATTAAAATGTTTAAGACACTGTAGGTACCCAATAAATGTTGTTGAGTGGACTGGACAAGTGGGATGAGAACTGTTTTCCTCACACCTCTGACTTAAATTATTTTTTAAGTCATGAAAAAGTTTAGAATTTAGGAGAAATAAAAATAAAGTTTTGTCATAGTATGTATAATGGAAATAGCTTTGGAATTAAAGATTAGTTCGAATCCACCAGCCTTTCCTTGGAAATCCTATGGGGCAGTTATTTTCTGTCCTGTAGGGTTGCTATGAGCTGGAATTGACTCGATGGCAGTGGGTTTCGTTTTGGTTTTAAGTCTAAGCTGCTTATCATATTTTTAATGAAATAAATGCAGTATTAGTGATGCTGCTGACAGGGCCTAAGGGTGACAAAAAACTTTTAAAAACACTAATAAGCATTACTGAAAAACAAAAAGAAGAAATAATGACTTTACAAAATTAAAATGCAAACTATGGTAGTCTTATTGTGTCATTATTAACTGTCAGTATGTTAAGTAGTATGTACACTATCGTCTGGACCTTGCCTCTTTCCCGAAGAGTTTACCTTTATATACAGAGAAAATACAGTGTTTTGATTCCCTTTAGTGGTTTTGTTAGCTGCTTTTATTTTCTCTTCTAAATTCTAAACTTTTTTTTTCATAGCTAAAAAAATAATTTCTCAAGTAGGGTTACTTACTAGTCAGGTGTGAGGAAAACAGTTTTCATCCCACTTGTTCAGTGCACTCAGCAAGATTTATTGGCTACCTACAGTGTCTTTGATATATAACACTTTAATAGTTGTGTTTCTTAAACTTTAGTTCGTTTGAGTCCCCCCGCACCCTCAGCTATCTTCCCCTACAAAAAATGTCTGCTTCTCTCAATATTGCACGCAGTGGAATGATCCAGAACTATGAGTCATATCTAAATTTTTCAACCCAAGCACTTGAAATGATGTTTTAAAATGTCTTTTTCTTAAATCATTACTGCTTATGTTGTCCAATTATGTTGCACGCTTTTGTTTAGACTTGTCATAAACATTGCATTAAACATATATGCAGCTGTTAAATCATTTTTCCGTTTTTTTATGAATCACTTTCAGAAGTGATTTTTCAGGTAAAAAACTTGAGTAAGGTCTTAGATACTGTTTTCATTATGGTTCAGGACAACAGTTTCGATAGTCATCGTCGTCCCCCCCCCCCCCCGTGTAAAGATAAAATATAAATCACAGATGTTATGGTATTTATAGTGGGAATAACTTTGGAATTAGGCCCTGCTTTTTATTTTGGCCTTACCCTAGCTATCTGACCATTGGCAAGTTAATTAATTTTGGTAAGCCCCAGTTTTGTCATTTGTAAAATGGGATGGTGACTACCTCAGGGTTATCTTGAGGACTAAAGTAAATGAAATGCCTAACAAATAGGCCCTCAGTATTATCTTTAGAAGCCATTTTACTAATTTTTTTTTTTCTTCCCTGAATGGTCTCAGAGCACCTCGTATATAGTGGATTCTACTAGCATAATATCCTTCATGTTGGTGGTTTTCCTTCTCAGTAGACGTGAACTCACTCTTTAAGGGCAAGGACTCCTAGTGTTTACCAGAGTGTGTGTTAGAGTATGGCGCAGTGGTTAAGAGATTGGCTGCTAAACAAAAGGTCGGCAGTTCGAATCCACCGGAAACCCTTTGGGGCAGTTCTACTCTGTCCGATAGGGTTACTATGAGTCAGGATCAACTCGAAGGCAATGGGTTTTTTAAAAAATTTTTTAAAGTTCAACGAACATTTATTAGGTACCTAATGTATACTGTGAGCCTCAGCTAGGTGCATAGCTAGGTGCAGGGTCTAAAGAGACAATAAAAGATGTCTCTATCTTTTGGAAGTTTGTAGTTGAGTGCCTTTCTCCACATAACACCATTTTTATGAAACTGTCACATATTGAAGCCTCATTCCCCATGTCCTTCCAGTCTTAGGGCAGTTCTGTGGACTCAGCATCACCCACCTCTTAAAGTGCTACTGTTGTTTTACCCTTTTATATGATCCTCTGTCATGTCTCAGTTCCAGCTGTTTGTGTGTGTGTATGAAATAAATAATTTTAAAATAAGTTTACATTGTTGGTTGCTTATAAATACTTCGATATTTTTCTGGAATGATTGTCTATCATCTGGGTATAGATACATAGATGTCTTAAACCTAAGTAGGATTATCTATAAGGTCAACTACTCCGGTCCCCTCATTTTACACATAAGGAAGGTGAAAGGCAGAAGCTTTGGAATCTTTTTGTTAGAGCCACACAGGTGGCAGAGCCAGAACCAGCACTCAAGTCTCTGGACTCCAGTTCAGGGCTCTTTGCCTGCATTGGAACATGTTCTGTCCAACTGTTGAGAGAAGTAGTTACACATGCTTTGTCATTACCCGCTCTTCTTTTTGAAGATGTGTGGATGTTTTCTACACCCTTTATAGAAGACAACAAGATGCCGCTAACGAGCTTTTTATGACCAGAGACAAGGAAAGCGGCTTTCTAATAAAGAATGAAGTGAAATTACATTGAATATAAATAGATGGTAATTAGTGTTAATTGTCTAGAAACTTATATCCTAATACACGCATACCCACTGCCTTGAGTCCATTTCGACTCATAGTCACCCTGCAGGACAGAGTAGAACTGCCCCATAGGGCTTCCAAAGCTGTGATTTTTACAGAAGCAGATTGCTACGTCTTTCTCCCAAGGAGTGGCTAGTGGGTTCAAACTGCCAACCTTTCCGTTAGCAGCCGAACACTTTAAGCACTGTGCCACCAGGTCTCCATATCCTAATGATAGCTCACTTATTTTAGACAAAATTGAGGACCCAAAACAGTTTTTACGCTGTATGTTTTCTCATTATGAGATAATGTTTGAAAATACTTAAAGGTGTTATATAAGTTCTCTTTTTAATGAAATGACTTGTTAATAAATGTACAATGAATATCTTTACCAGATTTCATTTTATTTAATTTCAGAAATGACACCTCTAGTGCTTTGCTCTAACATATCTTTAACAAGTAGATATCATAATGGATAGTAAGTTGAAAAGAAGGTTATTAAGTAGTAGGCCTGAGAGTGAAATAAAGTTTGTTGGTTTCTCTTCTTTTTGAGTATTGCTGTTTGTACATGAGGTATAGCTGAAACTCATTACTGTTTGATTTTAAGCTTTGAGATTGTAAACTGTCTAAAATTATACATAAAATTTTGAGTGCTTTGGAGTCTCAACAGGTTCAGTGAACAAAGGCCACCAGGAACCACTGATGTGGAGGAAGGAGCACATTTTTTCTCTAGTTTCCTAGGTAGTCATGACAGGTCACTTAGCTTTTCTAAACCTTTGTTCCAGTTCTGTCAAATGAAGGTGATATTTGGCTTTGTCTACTTCAGAGGATTATACTTTTAAAACGTGATTGTTTTTGGAAAAGTGTGTTTATACTGTATAAAGTATTCTTATAAC